TTTCAAGTGTGATTCCTACTTTGGAGAGGTTGAGCGACTAATAAGGATTTTTTCTTAACATATCCATACCTTGAGAGCCTGAAAACATGGAGCAGTTACCCAAAATATCGATACAAAACGTTTCCATTAAACGTGCAATTAAATTGGGCAGCACCAATTAAAAATGTATTATCCATCTAACCATTTTTTTGTCAAGTACCCCATCTACCAGGTGTCATAAACCCTATTGTTTTGACGGGTGTGCACGTGCGTTTCCTAATTTCCTCATCACACCTGCCCAGTCCCCCCTTGTCCTTCTTCTTCTTCCCCTCCCAACTCCAAACTATAAGTAAGGTACCGTGAGAAAGCTGAGCTTATATTCGCCCGCCCGTCTTTTCAATTCAGTATACAACAAAGGCTTAGGGATAATCGCTTAAAGGGTAGTCGAGAATGAAGAGGAGCTAACCTCTAGTACTAACCCTTTGTTAAAATTGTACATTGAGATGAAGAACATGAACACAATAGTCAATTTGTATGCAAATGAGTCGGCAAAAGAAGAGTACTTGTGAATAGAAAAGGGGATAAAGTTGGGGAGTGGGTATCAAAGGTCGCGAGAGTAGTTGGGTGTTACGGTTTATACTGACCAGTCGTCAAACTTTTTGGAACACGGCTTCTAAAACGTAACTGTCGTAAGGTATGATGCCGAGTCTGAACCCACTGCTACTGAAACTTCATGTTTTAATGAACACTTAATCCTGCTTCCTCGAACTACTCCCCTATTACTACTGGGGGTAAAAACTTTCAATTAATTGAGCTGAGAAATGAATCACCGCGCGCATTCGGCTCCGTAGGGCAGTTGGTAGCGCGCTTGTAATCTGGAAACGATGGTCTTGGGTCCGAACCCATCAGAGGTACCTAAGTATTAGGCACCTATGTTTATTTTGAAGTTTCGCCTTTAATAAGCTACAAGAAACAATTCAGACTGAAAAGCGCCGGAAACAATAAAGGGTACCGAGCATCTTCTGGATTCGTAGCGCAGGTAGCGCGTTTCTTCAACTGAGTTCGACTCCTTCTCCATGAGAAGATTCTGAAGTCATTTTCCGAAACTTCTGAAGACAGGATCTACGAATCTAGACCATCCTTGTATTCATAGCCTCTTATTGACTGATTCTGAGAGTTCGACAACTTTGAACACCTCTGCTCCACCACATCTAATTCTTCCCAATATCTTCCCCGGATCTTGTGTACAACAACAATATCAACAGGAAAAGTGGGAGGGGGAGAAGTGTCGTATGTGTGTGTACTACCAAACAATTTGTCCCATTCCAATATCCCATCCTCTACTACACTCAACACCTGCAACATCATTTGATCATCGACAATTGGCTCCCTTTCCCCTGATGTGGGGTGCCCTCATTCCCATCTGTTTTGTGTGTATCTCGTAATGTTCATTTTTCCAGTTTTTTCTAGATATTTTTACGTCTATTAGATATTTTTCGTTTAGAGTGGTTTTTACAGTTTTCAAATTCCGTTCTGCTAGCTCCTTATGATGGAACAGGACGACAGCTTCTTAAATTCTGGAGTACCCCTATTAGAAGGGCATGAGGGTTTTCGATAGTCTGTCAAAGCCTTTCATGACTAACCCGCTCAAAACCCTCTATAAATCACTGAACTTTGTGCTGGAAAAGCGAAATTCACATAATTCAAGTCATTTCTGCTTCAGAACCTTCAAAACCCGCACTTTCTGATTCAGAACAGTCTCAAAGTCCCTAAAAACCGTCCAAAAGCCTCTAAAAAGAGTCATGTCCTTTTCAGGCAGACTGTCCTTCAGTGTGCCCTTCTAAGCTCCTTTACAGTCGAAAACCGCCAAAATGCATAAATTTTTGAGAATTTTCTGAAGCAAAACTGTCTCAAACCCACTGAAAACCCACTGAAAAAGCACCAAAAATGTCAAAATTACTTGGAAAACCATTTTGAGGGTGTCCTTCTAATAGAGGTCTTTTAGCTCTTCCGATTTGCTCTCCACGATAAAACCATGCCCCACTATTAAGAATTGTTTATATAATTATCTCTCACCGCTCATTTCTCTAATTCTCTCCCTCTCTCTCTTTTCCTTCCCCACCCTCACCCGGGACCATCTGTGTTTTTTCTTACCTCCCCTTTCCCCATTTTTCTCGAGCAAGTATCATATTACACCCCTCTAACACCTCCTTTGACATTTAGATATTAACACTCCTAATCATAAAAAAAAAAGTAAACATTCAGAGCGAGGGGGGCGTGTCCTCCGAAGAGAGTCGGAGGCCACGCCCCCATTTCGCATGTCCTCCTCGCCTCTTCTCTCTTGTTCTTTTTCTTGTTTTCTCGTCGTTTTGAGGAGTTGGTTCCGATGTCCCTTTAACCTTTTTTCAGTAGGATTTTCAGAACTTTCAGAAGTAATTTCAAAGTTTTCTTTGCAGGATTCCATGTGAAATGCAAAGATTTATTTTCATCACTAGTCTATTATTGTTTGGAATCGAGGGAAGATTGAAGAATGGATTCATTGGAGGAGCTGGAAGTCATGATAGCAGTCCTATTGAAGGTTAGTTTCCCCTTTCTGGGATATCACCACTATCTCTTTTCCGCGCAGTTATCTTTGCAATCAACACCTGCCCAATTTTGCGGTAGCGTGGCGCAGCTGGTAGCGTTCCTTGTTTTGATTGGGTCACCCCCGGGTTTGATTCCACATGGGGTCAATTTCCTTTTTTTCTTTTTTTTTCTTCGTTTTCTCATTTCTTTTGGAGATTCCGAAGAAGGTGAGAATCATAAAACGCATCAAATTTCATATTGCGCAATAAAATTGGGTGTCCCGCGCACCATCTTCCCCGAGTATGGGGAGGTGATGAGTGATGAATGTGACCCGTTAAAGGATAGGTTTATGTCTTGGAATTGAGGATGGGAAGGTCAAAAATAGCTTGAAACTGACCGAATTTATGCATTTTTGAGTCCTGAGAGTAGCTTTTCGGCTCCGAACAAAATGACTCCCATAAATTTCTCCGAACTCTGCGCCTTTCAGTTTCCATTAGCAACTATTTCCCTTCCGTTTTCCCGTTCTCCTCGGAGCACACAAATGCTCCGAGAAAAGAGACGTAATTCCATAATTGTATAAAGTGACCCCCTCTCTCGGTGGTCTACCCGTCCCCGTCCGGTCGAAAGAAGGGCAACAGACTCCGGATGCATAGCAGAGCAGAAGGCGTAATAAGCATCATTAAGTGTTGTCCACTACTCTATATGTTATAAACAAAATGTCTCTATTGAGTAGGGATGGATGGGGTGCTTATGAGGATGGTCACGACATGTATCTGTAAAAGGGCTTAGGATAAGAGCGGAAGGATGATGGGTAAGGGAAGTTAGTATAAACAATTTGGATGTTTAGGTTACAGTGAACAGGGGAAGGGAACTTCCTGGAAATATGAAATAGTTGTAGGAGTTGAACCGGGATTTTGAAAAAGGAAACTCAAAAACTAGAGACAAAACACAAGAAGTAGGGACAAATTTTCGTGACAATTGTTTTTTGCGAAATAATTTTTTCCGAGTTTAACTCACAAAAAATACACCATTCGATACATAATTTGTCGCTGATCATTTTTCTCTTCTGCAATTTTTCTCTATCCTCCCTGCGAATCGAGATATACGCGTTAGAAGTTGGGAGAAGAGACGCAGAAAGGCTAGAGCGTCTGGCTGTCTGCGTCTCTGCGCTCCTTCTTCAAATGACCGTATCTCGTTTATATAGGTATTTAGAGAGAAATGGCAAGAGAAAAGGTTGATAATCTTGAAATTCTCTGTCGATTAGTATATCAAAAGTGTGAGAAAATTTTGAAATCCTTTTTTTCAATTTTTTTTATTTTTCGAAAAGCCTAAATTTCCGGCGAATCTGGTGCCAATTCTGCAAATACTCTTCGAAAACTGCAGATTTCAATTTTTGACATTCCTCAAAAATTCGTAATAAAGTTCTTGCTCTCCCAATCATCTCTGAGTGTCAACCCACCACCACTTTTCCTAATCATTTGACATTTCGACTCCTCGTTCCCCTCCCCGTTTTGTTTTTTTTTGAAAAAAAAAACCTTTTTTTCCTCCCGTATCTCTCTATCCCTATCCTTTATGTTGAAGACAGCAGGAAGCTGTCAATTGGCACACACAGCCATTAGGCTCCTGGAGGAGAGGGGGGACCTTGGAGACTTGAGTTGTCTCATTGCATGTCCACGTAAAAACCGCCTCGGTGATAATGTTGCTGCTCGCGGAGCACGCCACAGAGAGCTCTTTTTCTGCTCCTTTACACTCTCGACACGCAACAAGAAATGTTTTTGGGGGGAGGGACCCGAAATGAGTGCGGGGAAGAAGATGATGATGAAAGAGCACGGAGAACTTTGTATAAATGTCGAAATGAGCAGTACCTGTAATATAAGGGCATGCGGGTTCCGTGACTGTCTGGAAATACAGTCCGTCTTTCTCAAAAGCTGGGTGGTCGCACTCTTGTCACTGTCCTCTCGCCTCTTGCTGTTTTGCGCTCTGGTGGCCTTGTGGCCAACGCTCTTGTTTTCCAATTTCGGGTCCCGGGTTCGATTCCACTTGGAGTAATTTTTCTTTTTTCAATTTTTCAAACCGATTTCTGTACTTTTCCGGGCTTTTCCGTCCATTTCAAAGAGCTTCTGGTGCACGCTCCCTCCCCAGATTTCCATAAATTCACCTTCTCCCACGCTCCGCTCCCCTTTCCAAAAGTGAAACATGTTCCTTCGTTTTCCCACACAATTGTTCAGGGCAGGTGTGGTGTGCCAAAGAGCAACGACATTTTGGGGAAAGAAGGGGCACACACCACTTTCCGGTGGCAAATATAAAGGAGGGAAGTGGCTCGTATTTCAAGCAAAGGAATTGTGAGGCTACCTTTTCTCTTTTAGGTAGGGAACGGGACATATGGAGCGTATGCAAAATGCTCTAGGGGCTTAGAAGTACAAATATTTCTTTTCTAATAAAGTGTAAAAAATATTTGACCCAGCACGGAATCGAACCCAACCCATTGAAAACCAAAAACAACTGTGTTTACCACTACGCCACAGTGGCGGAAGAGAGGCGTTAGGTGGAAGGGCAGTAACAATACCGTGGGGTTTCGCGCACTCCTCCTACTGACTAATAAATAATGAAGTTAATAAATTCATGTACTTACACATGTACTTGGAGGGAATATTTAAAATATGCGCACACATCTTTCATTAAATATTCCACATCATCTTCTTTTTACACTTTTTGCGCGGCGACTAAAAATGAATAAATTGATTAGGCTCCGCCCACTTTTGCAATTTCAAGGCATAAGGGGCCCTCAAAAAACAAAAAAAAAAAGAATTTCAGCAGTTTCAAATCTGGTAAAAGCCCGTCTTGGTAGGTTTTCGCATGACTCTTTTTCTCTCATTTTGGGCTGCCGCGTAAATTGGAAATCTTGCTTTCTTTTTTTCGTTTTCTCAGATCTCCGCTAATTGTAGGGAATGAGAAATCAAGGGGGGACGGTGGGGTGGTGTCAGCCAGCTGTTATTGTGTATTGGAGGGGTTGAGGCAACTAATTGCTAGAGCTTTTTTTGGTTTTAGGCAGGGAAGAAGGGGTGAGAAGAAGCTGAGAGGATAGGGAACGAGAAATGAATGCATTTGGCTGACTGTATGAACGGGGGATGCGGCTTTGCCTATAATAGAAGGGCAGTCGGAATGATTTGATACAAAGAAACGTATGAAAATAGGGAGGACTGGAGTTGTGTGCAGACGGATTTGAGCAGTTTCTAGTGGATTTAGACTATTTTGAAGCAATTTTTGGACCATTTTTAGCGGAGAATTGGAATAATTTTGAGCCAATGCGCAGGTTTTTTGAGCCGAATTTCAAACCGATTCTGATGAAATTGAAGTGTCAGTTCTAGTATTTCGAGCGGTAACGCCAAATTTCAACTGAGATTGGTCAGATGTGGAGAAACTTTGACAAATTTTGGAGAAACACGGTTTCAAAATTGTTTTCCTTCAAATCTCCAGGCTCCGCTGATCATTTTTCTTTTTTTACTGCTCATTTTGGTCCAATTTGAACAAATTTACAAGCATTTGAAGATTTGTAGAGGCTAAGACTACAAACTACACTTTCTTGCCTCAACAAATTGCCGACCGAATGTGGGCAGTCAGCGCGCCTTCACAAAGTGACTCGGTCGGCAATTTGTAGAGGCAAAAGGATGTAGTTTGTAGTCTCAGCTTCTACAAATCTTCAAGTGCACATGAACCCTGTTAAAACGGTCTAACCTTTACAAAACTTCAAATTTTGATTACTTCGTTCAAAATGTGCCACTTCAATTTCCGTATTTCCGAGAAAAAAAATTTCGAAATGTCCAATAAAAAATTCAAATTTCCTCCACACCAAGGTCACTTTTCTCTCCCTCTCTCAATACTATAAAAACCTTTTCTTTTTTTTCTCAAAAAGAGAGTGAATTAGCCTCGTCGGTGTCAATGTGTTGAGAAGAAAGAGTGAAGAGTGGAGGGGTCATAAAATGGACCCCATAAAGTTTTGGAGAGTGAGTGGAGTGGAGTGACTGAACTGAACAAAAACTTCGTACCAAGTACTTACGTATGTGAACGCTTTTTGCGATGATGATGATGATGGCGGCGCCCTTTTTATGGGAACCTTTTATTTCGAAAAAGGAAAGTGACCTGGGGGACGGGCATTGACTGCCAATTTAGAGGCTATGAGCACAAATACAATAAAATCCACAATCGAAATATATTCTATTGAATTCCACTTGTTTCCCTGATCATTTTCCTTTTTTACTGCTCAGTTTGGTCCAATTTGAACAAAGATACTAGCATTTGAAGTTTTGTAGAGGCTAAGACTACAAACTACATTTTCTTCCCTCTACAAAACTCAACCGCGCCTCCAGCCAGCCTGCAGTCAGTCGACATTTTGTAGAGGCAAGATTGTAGTTTGTGCCCTTAACCTCTACAAATTGTAGCATCAGGGCGGCAGACATTTTGTAGAGGCAAGAAATGTAGTTTGTAGTCTTAGCCTCTACAAAACTTCGATTGCTCGTAACTCGCTTCAAAATAGGCCAAATTGAGCAGTAAAAAAAGGAAAATGACAAGAAAATATTGGGGAATTCAATGGAGTCAATAATTTAGTTGCCTAATTATTGCAAACCCAAAAATATTTCGCTGAAACTTGCTGAATGCTGGCTTGGAAAATGAAAAAATCTAGAATGGCTAAAATTCATTTTTGCCGAAGAAAAACGCTTCAAGAATAGTGCATCCCAATATTTTTGCTTTCAGGAATCCTCAAAGAATCCCTTCGATCGAATCGAGTCCAGGCTTGTGACGGGGAGAGAATCACGTTGAGTTGCCCGAGGAACACACAAATTTCCGTTCAGACTGGGTAAGCTAGCTCTGCCCATTTTTGCAATTTTGCTTTCATTTGAATAATTTCCAGATTCTACGGTAGAGTCGTTCCGGAAAGTCAACTATGTCCCCCACAAGCTGGCAGAAAACTACCGGAAGTGTCGGATCCATTGGCATTGATTCATCATTCGAGTACCTGCGATGTTATTCAAGCTCATACGGTATGCACCTTTGAATTTCGATCAGTTTGGTGCATAAGCCATCAAAAACGGTCGAAAACAAATGAAGTTACAGGGTTTAGAGGATTTTCTGTAATTTTTGTAGACTTTTGTAGTTTGTAGTCACTTTGCCTCTACAAATTCGAATCTGAAAAGAAAAAGAAAAATATATGTTCCTGGCTACAATCTGAACTTTCCAGCGAATCTCCGAGCTTTGCGACAAGCGTCGAAAGTGCATGGTGGTCGTCGACTCGAACACCTTCGAAGATGATCCATGCCCAACAACATCCAAATATCTCCAGATGGCATACGGTTGTATTCCGATGAGTTTCGACGAAGAGACTTTTTGTACACCGAAACCAAATGAGCCATCTCGTCCCGAGATTCGATTAGAGTGTCGAGAGGGCAGGAGGTTGGCAGTGTACTCGGCACAAATGAAAACTTCGCCACAGTGTGATCCGGATACCGAGATTCGACATGGTAGGTGTCAATGACAAACAGGGTTGTTCGGAATCCGAAAACGGAAAAATTTCGTAAAACTTTTTCCGAACAAGCCTGATCACAAAGCTCGGAACTCTCCTTCCTAGGTTTTGCACCCATGGTCTAGCTAGCCCTCTCGTTATCCAAATTTCAGACTCGGGTTCGATTCCTCGACGGTCAAATTTTTTGTTTTTTTTTGTTCTTCTTCTTTCACTAATCTTCCTAACAACTAGTAGTATTTCACAATATCCTTTTACTCTTTTTCCAATTTCTTCATTCTGGTTCAACGCCTCACAAGCCACTATTGTTCCAGTATATCCTTTGATGACACACATCCAATTAGCCATCTTCTTCTCGGTTTCTGAGCCAAAGAGAGGCATCATAGGGGAACGAGAGACGCAGAGAAAGACAATTGTCTTCTTTCTTCTGAAGCTCACTAAGCCAAATGAAATAGTAGGGAGTGAACACAATCCTCTTCTCTCCCGGGTGAATAGTAAAGTAGGATTTCCGCGTTGTTGGAACCACTACCACCACCAAAATGAGAATTTATTCAAAGGGATCCTCTTTTTTTGCAGAATGCGTGTCCGATGTCCTACCACAAGTTCTGAAGCAATGTCACGCCAAGGAGGGATGCACATTGAAAAGTGAAGAGATCAAGGGACACTGTCGTCATGGACACCTTCATGTCGTCTATGTTTGTGGTAAGGCTCCGCCCATTTTTGTTCTGAGCAATACCGTAAAAGAAAGAGAATTGCAGTGAACGAAGAAATCTTCTCCGAGGAAGCCATCAAAGGAGAGCTCACAACACTGGATGCCTATCTGAAGGTACGTGGTGTTTGCGTACCTGGCATCTGACTTGACGAATTTTTTTTAGGAAGCCGAAGCCATCCAAAAGCAAGACGACGAGCGATTCTTCAAGGATGTCAACGATAAAACTCAATGGGAACGAGTGGTGGATAGTGAGCCAGCCAAGGATTCAGATGTACATCAGATTGCCAATGATGCCTCCTACGTAACCCATGACGAGTATCGAATGGAAAAACAGGACCCGCCACCGGTCACCGAACGTGTGGAGCCGAACTTAGTTGGCATCGGACACGACTTGCTACAAGTCGTTCAATTTTTCAAGGAGAACAAAGAAAAAGCGGTGATGTGCATTATTCTGGCAGTTAGTATGGCTGCAATTGTGGTCTTGTCTGCGTGTATAATCACACGACTGTGCTCCTCTTCTAAGGATAATAGAAGTTCGAGAAGTTCAAGGAGTAGGAGATCGTTGGAGACTAGCAAACTGGTTTCTTCTAATTGTGAGTTTTTTTTTGCTGGTGGTTACGAAAAGAAGCGAGTAAAAAGCGAAGAAAAACCTGGAGAAATATATGTACAGTAAGAAGTTTCTTTAAAGGCGCATACGTTTCATTGAAGTTCCTGCTTTGGCATGGATTCCATCGAAAAATTGAGCCAATAACTCATTTTTTCATTTTATGCATTTTCCGTCCAAAACTTATTGCCTAAAAAGTCTAAATCCCTCAAAGCAGTGTTTTTGCAACAATTGCAACAATTAGGCGCCTATGCGCCTTTAACCTAAAACTTTTCACTGTACTCTCAACAATTCCGCTTGTTATTCGCTCAAAAACTCTCAATTATCGAGAAAACTTCTCAAAAAAAAATCAGTTGCAGACGGCGGTTCGATCACCCCTCAACACATGATGCAAGACATTGAAGACGAGCAATTCCTTCGGTTCTCCATGGGCTCTGCCGCCAATTCAAATCCCCATTATAGCCATTATGACTTTTGAAAACGCACCTCCTCCACCACATCCGTTCTTTCTTTCTTTCCCATCCTAATCTCTTGTCCAATATAAGCGGGTTCCTCTAGTCACTTTTATAACACCTGATGAAGGTTCAATAAATGTTTTATTTTACAAGCAATAATTGAAAACTGAAAACGTCTCTAACTAATCAATCATCAAGCACATGAACCCAATCGGCGACTGTCGAGTTGGTTGGAAGTGGTTC